GCTTAAAGCCACGAGGGAGCCTGCCCCAGCAGTAACGCCTTAGAGATCCTGCCAGCCCTGCCTCCACAGTGGCTTCTAATACTCCTCCCCCCTCCCCGTCCTACACTGGACAGGCAGCTGCCTGTTAGGTGTAGGAGAGGAGGTGGGATGCTTGCAGCGTCCGGGGAAGTTTGCTCAGTAAGATTGCCTTAGCACTGCTGCTGGCCCAGCCTCCCCGATGCCTTTAAATACAATCCCCCCCAACACTAGACAGGCTAGCGTCTGTCAGGTGTAGGAGCAGGGCCAGGGTATGAATGTTTATGGGGGGATATAGTAAAGGACATTTCTAGGAGCAATTTCGATGTGTGCCTCCCTCATGAACCTGAAGAAATGTCCACCACATCACCACTCCCTCACACCAACTCCCCCTCACACCTCTCACCTCTTACTGCCCCCAAGAAAGCTCCTGGCAAACGTTGAGCCAGATACACCAACACTACAAAGAGGAGGCAACTTAGGAATTCAGCAAAGACATTTGCACATAGTAGTCCTGCAGTGCACTGAGCTGCACAGGCCAAGTACCAGCAAGATCACCCTGAGGTGCTCAGAACAACACAGCCTCCATATGAGCAAAACAATCCAGGAACACAAGTAGAGAGGCCATCACTTTCGTGGAAGGTAGCAGGAGTTGACTTAACAGACGACTGCTTCTTAAATGGACAGTTCTATGTGGCCTGCTCCAGAGTGAGCTCATCAGGCAGCCTGGTGATCCCAGCACCTGAGGGCAGAACCACCAATATGGTCTAGAGAGAGGTCCTTCAGTAGAGGGGGAAAAAAGTATGTATGTCTCACTTCATTTCTTACACTACAATCTTCTCCATTAGAATTCCTACAACAAATGTCACATTTCAAATTTCACATCATCAGTATTATAACTGGACAAGTGGAGACCCACAAGAAACTTGCGGGATGGTTATCTCATTCATCATACCTTTGCTTCCTCTCCTCACCCCCTACCTCTCTCACACTATTTCTCCCCTCTGCCCCCCTTTTCTTACTCTCAGACTGGCAGTTTGCCCCGATATACGCACGTTTCAGAAACGTTCCACAACCAGATTAAAGGGGCCGTTTACACAGGCACATCTGTCCGGCATTCCCCAGCCGTACTCAACCCGTCTTGTAACGCTTCGCTCCTGAGTTTAAAAGATACCTGGTGAAAGTTGTATCAAACCCTGAAAAGCGCAATTATCCCATGTCCATCCCGCACCAACAAAGTGTGAACGCCAAAAGCCGCATAAGCGCATATCTCCAGATTACCAAAAAGAAAGCCGTGCCTTACAGCCATGCCTCCGCCAGGGGTGGGCCAACAGTGTGAATACTCCCTTGCGCCTCCTCCCCGGTATGCTCCCGCATCAGTCGAAGCAGTGTGACCGGGAAAACCTGAAACAGTTTATTCCAGGTCTTTTTTGCCACAACTCCCTCCCGGTTCAAACTGCCAGACTGAACTCGGCCAGAGATTAGCAGTTCCAAATATAAAATTATACTACCAAGCGGTGGGCCTGGTTCATATTGCTGATTGAATTAAAGATCCAAGACAAAGAATAGTGAATAGACTTCAGGGGCTAAATTCAGACTATTTGAGACAAAGAGCACTGTATAGGTTACAGGATATAGTAGCCAGGCATCCATCTGAAGCCAACACAAAAGCAGAATGCCCAAAACCTCTGAACTCAAAGGCGTGGTTAAGATCCAATTTAGAACTTACTCCCAGCGAAAGACTTGCTACTACTTATGATGAGACATTAGAGCTTTGACCCCGGAGGACCTGCAATGCATTAGCCTGACGTTGTATTCTCTTTAATGTTGATCAGAATACTGTTTTACTGTTTATTATTGTTTTTATATGTTAATGTTGAGTGAGTTGAAAGGGCAAACCACAGCCCAAATCTTGTGTGCAGACGGCAACAATGGGGATCCAGGGAAGGACCCCATGATTTGGTCTGGTGGGGGGGGGTGTTATGATCTGGGCTGTGCCACCAGAGGCCTACTAGGCCCAGGGAGCCTGGCTAGCAGTAGGTGAGGCTGGGCCTACAACTCTCTATTTTCATTGTTCACTCTGCCTGGTCCTCACGCCTATAATTCGGCCAAAAGGGAGGTCAGAAGGTCTTGGGAGGGTGCTCCGGGCCTTCTCAAAGGATCCTAAATCCAGAGTGGTGGCAGCGTCAGGTGACACCCCACCTAAGCTGTGACAATCTTCCTTTCCATTGCTCTGAAGACTGGATGAAACACACAGCATGCAACTCTCCACAGTACTATCCTAATCACAGTTAGCATCCTTGTAAGTCCACTGATGTCAATGTGCTTAGAAGCATATAACTCTGCTTAGGACAGCCCAGCCAGGTTCTTCAGGCCTTAACAATTATAGCTGTCAGTCCTGCTTTCACAATCCACTGACAGAAGTTGTCCTGACACTTCTTTACGCATATTTCGTGTTAAGCAAACCAAAGGACTACTTCATTTAACTTTAAATCCAGAAACACCGTAGCTTTTTTAAAAAAATCTGTAAAAGGATGGAAAGGTTATGTACTCTGGGTTACACCTAGGGATGGGCATGAACCAGGAAAATGGAGGTCCGTGGTTTGTGGGGTCTCATGAACCATGAAGTGGGACGAACCTCCCCCACTTCACGAACCAGTTTGAGGTTCGTGGTTCATGTTGCAGTGCACTTGCAAAAGCCATTTAAAAGGTTCCCTTTAAATGGCTTTTGCAAGCCACACCACCGTTGTTACCGTGGCGTGACTCGCAAGTGAACGGAGAAGGGTTTTAAATGCCTTCCTAGTTCACTTGCTGAGTTGTGCCGTGGTGGCAGCTCAACTAAATCCCTTATCAGTTCACTTGTAAGCTTAGAAGTGGGGGAGGAGCGAAATGGATGGGTTAAATGGCTAGCAGACATTTAAACCTAACAGCTGACGGGCAGAGCCACTGGGCTGTTAGGTTTAAATGGCCTGCAGCTATTAAACAAGTCCGTTTTGCTCCCCCCCCAAGAGAAACTGGCCCCTGAAATGTCTGTCAGCCATTTAACCCTAACAGCCTGGCAGGTCTGCCCATCAGCTATTAGGTTTAAATGGCTGGCAGCCATCTCATGGGCAGTTTCATTTCCCCCTGCTCTCTCCCTGCAGCCTCTGCTGGGGCTCTGCTGGTTTGCCCAGTTGAAACTGAACTGCCTGACAGACCTCACAACAGAGCCCCAGCAGAACCTGCAGGGAGAGTTCTTCCCGCAGGATCAACTACTTTGTGGGCTCTTTTGGGCAATCCAGTTTAAAGGAACTGCCCAAGAGAGCCATAGGATTGGCTTTTTTGCGGGAGCTCAGCTGACAGCTCTGTGCCGCCTGGGCTGGGGCTGGTTCCTCTTTGTTTAAACTGAGCTGCAAAGAGGATCCAGCCCAGCAGCCCCGTAGCTAGGGAATTCTTTGGGAGGGGGCCTTGGGGGGCCCCGCCAGCTAATTAAATGGAAGTACAGTGCAGGTGGTAAGTTGGAGCACTTTGGGGGCAGCCCTGGAGAGAGGGGGCCTAGAAGAAACACAAGGGGGCCAGGCCCCGTGGGCCCCATGTTAGCTACGGGCCTGCAGCCCAGGATCATACGGGATGGCAAGAGCTGAGAGCTGAAAGGATCTGCATGCAGGGGGGAGGTCTCTCCCTACCACACACAGACCTGGCTTGAGGAACCCACCAGCTGAGGTAGTGCACAGCTGTCAGCTCTCATCAGCCCTGTGTGATCCTGGGCTGGCTCCTCTTTGCAGACCTCCAAGCCAGGTCTGCATGTGGGAGGGAGAAACCTTCCCCCCGCCCCCCGCAGGCAGATCCTGGGGCCAGCATCTCCTGCCTGACTGTTTAAGCCGTCAAGCAAGGGAAGGAAGCCTCCAAGCCAGACCCCCCCCCCCCCCCCCAGCACACAGATCTTGGGGCCAGATTTAAATCTCTTCTCAGTTGACTCACTGCATCATGCTGCCATGGCGCTGCTTGGAGAAGGCATATAAAGAGACTGCAGTCTCTTTAAATACAAGCCTTGCTGCCAGTGCCAGTGTGTCTGCCCACACAAACCCTCCCTGGGAGGTTTGTGGGGCTCATGAGGGCAGGATGAGCATGAACCAAGGTTTGCAAACCACAAACTGGGTTTGGTTTGTAATGACCTTTGGTTCACAATTTGGTTCGTGCCCATCCCTAGTTACAACTTCCGTTAGCTATACATTTATAAGACTATAAGGATCAACACTGCTCATTTTCTTTATGTCATTTTGTATTTCTCTATCAAAAGCCTCTGTGGTCTAGCCACACTTTCTTCCTGCACTGCTACGCTAGTCCCACATCTTAAAAAGTGGGTCAGAAGAAAATAGCAGGTGTGGGATCCCCAAAACTTCAGTAAGAATGGGAAAAAAGAGAAAGATCAGCCCATGTTCCTCCTTAGTCCCCAAAGACGTCAAATCACAGTCCTACCACCATCAAATGGGAAACTCTATTCATGCTAATATTCACTGATTTTATACAATTAGCAAGAGGGAAGCAGCAGTGACTGCCTTTTTCCTTTCACCTACAGACAGCAAGAGTTCTGTGAAAGAACTGGAAGGTGATCATAGCAACTTCAAGGACTGATAGCTTCTATGTGAACTAGCTTGGTGATTGATTTAGCAATCTAAATTGTTAGAGTAATATATTTCAAGTGTCTTTCTTTTTGTCTTTTAATTTCAGGCCACTTAGTGCTCACTACAGCTCATTTTTGCAGGCTTTTCCTCTCAGATCTTGAGGTTAAAATGTATAAGAAGTTAAAATTACAAGATGTCTCAAAAAATGACAACAGCAACGAACAATCAATTTCAAGCACAGTTGACCCTGAATATTTCACCATTAGCAAAACACTTGAATCATTTACACAATACAAATACATTTAACTATGCAAATTGCATGGCTACCTTCTTTTAGTTAGAGTTCAAAAGCAAACAATTCGGCAGTGGAGTGTTACTTACAAGCTGCTCAGATTTCACAGCATACAGTTGTATAGTCTTTGCCACATTTTTAGATACTGCCAGGCTGAGGTCTGGATCAACAGCAGCCACATTTAGCTCACTAGAAAAAAAGAAAATGAAAAATAATGTATCTTGAAATAACACTGGCTTTTTATTAGACTTTTTACTTCAGCTGTTATTCATGATATTGTAGTTCACTGACTATATGTTGTTGCAGACCACCTTTAGAGTTCTAGCACATTAGAAATAAGGAGCAACTCTGAAAGAATCCTAGCTTCACACTCCAGTTTTTGTATGCAGCCACAGCCAATGACAAGGAGCAGCTGCTTGAGTGACAGAGAGAGGAATCTGCAAATTTGCCCTGAGGCTGATTTTATAAAGCACTCCCGACTAAACAAATGCAGTGCAGCCATTCCACCCATCCTGCTCTTCTACAGATTCCAGGACCAGAAGCCAAAGTGGATAATCATTCTGTTTCCAGCCAGAACACAGTCTATGAAAGTAGACATATCAGTCAACGGCTTTCAAAACCATCAGCCTCAAGGTATCCCAGACTCAAAAGTATAGTCTGATCAGCACTTTTTATTTCAGATTGAATGGAAACATTTGCGTGGTGACTACGGCTAGTCAAGGCGGGTTTGCACTACAGCGGTGCTGGGAACAAGCAATTCCCAAACCAGCATCATGGTTCTTCCGTCCAAAGGCTGGCTTTTAGTTTGGGACCAGAGGGCTGTGCACCAGTCTAGACTTTTTCTCACAGCCTTCCCCCATCCCAATCACTCACTCTCAACCCCAAGTTCACACAGGGAAACTCTAGTAATAGTTCTGTGACAGCCCACAGGCAGTTGGTTGGAACCCAACTCCTAGCAAACAGTGGCCTTCAGTATCTCTCTTCTTTCTACTGCCTACTAATGCAAGGCAAGGAACAACAGTAGAATTGTTCTTAGGCATAATTGTGTAATAGCTTCAAGAAATCAAATGTATTATGTGCAGGACCAACAAAAATATTCAGGTTCCCCCCTCCCCCACTTTGCACAATAAAATGCAGAAGATAAGCTGATTTAATTTCACTGATAATTGCCTGTATAATTAATGAGGAATCAAACATTTAACAGTAATGAACTTTCATTTCTAAAATTATAATTTAAGGAGGGGAAAAACATGGCAACACATTATATATGGAAATTTATTTCAAGCACACACCTTGCAATGGTTTTGATGATGCTGTCAAGCTCGTCAGTCGAAGGAGGATTGCGACCCCCAGGGGGAAAGACGAGGTTGATGGGGTCAAAGAGTCGAGATAATGACTTTGACAAGTAGGCAGCTTCATAAGGTTGCAGAGAGTCTTTCAAGGCTATTTCTGGACTGGGTAACAGAGGAACTTCGTTAAGAAATGTTGATTTCGTGTTCTTTTTTAAAAAAAATACAGCCGCACATCTGGAGCTGGAATAACTTTAGTGTTTATAAGCTTTGAGGGGCAAGGGTCTTGCGGAATTCATAATGTCAGTCAGGACCTTTGAGCCTACAATACTCAAGGTATTGATGCAATTCTTTTTCTAATGGTAGAGGGCAGAACAGTCCAATTTAACCTCAAATCCCATAAACAGCAGGAAGACTCACATAGGCCCCAGATGAAGATCAACAGTGCCTAGGAATTCATTCTTTTTTTTTTTAAATGAACAAACTGCTGAATTAGTAACCCAGAATAATTTCAGCACACTCCCATCAACCAACTTCCTTTAAAAGCATGCCATATTTGAATTCTTCAGTTCCTACTGGGGATGGGAGTTTAATGATGTCTTTGGTATTAATTTGCATCAATTAAAACTAATGAATGCTCTACTGTGCATGCTAGTGGGAGCAAAGTCAATGTGCTTAACAGAACCAATGCAAAAGTTGCAATGCCTTTATGTTGCAGGAAATGCTCTTTTTTGTAGAGTCGAACACTATGGATTCTCCAGTGAAACTTTAAAGAAAGACATTGCAGGAGAAGGGAAAAACCTACAGTCTGGGATTTCCTATACAATAATTATACACAGAATGCACATACTCATAATCTTGTTTCTTTTGCATGAATAGATCATGTGTATCATCTTCTATATGCTGAAGTTCAACAAAGGGTTCCATAGTTCCATTTGTATTAAAATGCCTTTGAATATTTTCACTGTATTGCTGAAGGCGCTTCCACAAATCATTATAGAGCCTCAATAATTTAGGATATTCACCTTCAAAAGCTTGTTTCAGAAACACGGAAGCTGCAAGACAAAACCCATGAATTCTTGTGCTGTACTGTATTAAATTCTGTGATTCTTACCATTTTAAGAGCTAGTCCAGTAGCACCTTAGAGACAAACAAGATTTTCAGGGTATAAGCTTCTGAGAGTCAAAGCTCCCTTTGCCAGATACCATTTTAAGAACATGACGGTCTGGAAATACAGCTTTTAAATAAATGCAGTGTTTGTATCAGAGCCTGTCTCAATTTCCCTTCTCCCCAAGATCGAACACAGGAGAAGATCAGGTCTCTTGCCTGCTCCCCTCATTACTCCAGAGAGAGGTGAATGAATGACTGAGGAAGTAAGTCCCTGGTGTGTCTAGCAGAAAGCCTATTTTCACATGTTCCATTCTAATAAAATACTGTTCACGGTTTGTACAGTCCTCTCTCCTAACTCTTGAAATTTTAGTGCTATAATTATTACTTTATTAAACAGTTACTAGCCTTACTGTGATAAATGATTGTCATTAATGCTGGCAAAGGTAATTGAGACAGATGTTTGTTCCAAAATTCCTTGTCCTCTAGCTATTGTCACTGTTCTCCTTTCAGGGATTAATGTTTGCCAGGGCTCTCAGGGCCATGATTCAGCCCTAGAACACAGAAACAAACGAAAGTCCATCTTAAGCTAGTACAAAGTGAATTTCCTTCACCAATGAGCCATATGTAGGCCCAAGGTATCAGGGGTGAAGAGGAAAGCACTTCACAGGGCTCCATCTCCAAATGGATAGGAGATCTGGCATCTCTCTGTCTAGAAATTAAACATGGTGTCTTTCCTCAGACATTACCACCGTTCTAAATGTTCCCGTTTGATGAATCTGAATATATTAACTGAATATATATATATATATCAAGAATAAACAAAGCTTTTTGAGTTGTTGTTTTTCTGACTCTGCCCATTGATTTTGCTGCAAATTTCTTCTCAAGGTTATTTGTTAAAATAGTTTTATTGTCTCAACAATCCACTTCACATCTGTACACAGCCTTCACAAGCTCCAGAGGCAAAGGCCCATCTAAATATGATGGACCTGCATTGTCTGAAGAACTATGACAGAGCATGGGCCATTCTCACTTCCTCCAGTAAACAGAAAAGGAGCATGCCCAGGGGTGGTTGCCAGACAAGCAGCTTTTGAAGAGGGCTCCTATAACAGGAGCCACAGAGAGGGCTTGAGGCAGCTTTTGCTTTCAGACTGTATCTATCTCACCAGTGAAACAGTAAATCACCGTGTACAATTAAACAATATTTGTTGGTTTTTATATGCAATGTTGAGAATTCAATTATTACCAATAACACTATGATATGTGATATAAAGCTTAGCAATACAATATGTGATATAAAGCTTAGCAGTACATACAAAGTAATACAATACTAGTTACAGACAAACGACGGAGTTCTAGTACACTATCCGTTTGCGTGTCCTTCATCAGGTTTGTCATTCTGTAATTATTTCTTCATTAGAATGAAGTGCTGCAAGCCATATTTCAAAATGCTTATACAATTTTTGACGTACGCTACTGGGGAGCTCCTATAGCAAGCTCTAATGTGACTGGGTCTACAGCATAAAATAATTGGCTAAGCTTCCTTAGCCAATTATTATATGCTGTAGACCCAGTCACATTAGAGCTTGCTATAGGAGCTCCCCAGTCACCAGAATCTAAGCGCGGTAGCGTACGTCAAAAATTGTATAAGCATTTTGAAATATGGCTTGCAGCACTTCATTCTAATGAAGAAATAATTACAGAATGACAAACCTGATGAAGGACACGCAAACGGATAGTGTACTAGAACTCCGTCGTTTGTCTGTAACTAGTATTGTATTACTTCGTATGTACTGCTAAGCTTTATATCACATATTGTAGTGTTATTGGTAATAATTGAATTCTCAACATTGCATATAAAAACCAACAAATATTGTTTAATTGTACACGGTGATTTACTGTTTCACTGGCTATTACACACCGTGGTCCTGTTTGTTGTATATATCTCACAGCAAAATCAGTAGTACCTATAAGAAAGGGGGCTTTTCTATTTGACTATATTCTAATCTGACTTGTTAGTAACGAAATAAACACACATAGCCAAGAACCTGGAAACCTTAGAATGAGGAAATACATATGTCCCATAAACAAGAAATAAATACACTGAAGTTCAGAAAGGAACAAGGGAAAAAATGGTAGGAAAGAAATATTCATGACTGAAACTGAAGTATGATGTTGCAAAAGCACAGTGTAGATTTTGCAGCATGTAAAGAGGGGCCTTAAGCTATGTACAGACAGGGGACAAAAATATACTGCCACCGAAGCAGGGCGAGAATGGGTGAGAATGGAGTAATCACATCCCAATTTCTTCCTTCTTCTGCTGGAGCAAAAGTACAGTGCAATGGCAAGTGTGATTTCCCCCCCATCCTGATATGGAAACCTAACCTTCCCCTTGTTTCCCCTTTCCCATGGCAGCTGCACTGTAGTGGTACAGCATGGCTGGGCTGGGCAAGAGGGGGAAAACCCCTTTTAAAGAGCTGAAAAGTGGCTGTGGGTGGGGTCTGCAAATGGACACTCTTGGACTGGATCAAAAGAGGTTTATTTTTATCTGGTTTAAAGGGGAAAGCCACAGTAAGCCCACTAATCATGCTCTGGACGAGCACAATGTTGTGTGGATGTTCCCTTTAAGCATGGGGATTTCCTGCTCTTCTTGTGTGTGTGGGGGGGGGGAAATTCCTGTGGTTAAGCAGCCTGGTCAAGAGAAATTCTTAAGCACAGCACCTCACAGTCCTGTGAGAGTCAAACACAATTAAAACAAAAAACATTCTGGCCCTTTCCAGCTCTACACACCTAGTAATTACAAGGCAGTATGTGTGGTAGAATTAGGCAGTCTGCTGATTTCAACTAGCTTCCAGATCACCTGGTTACTTAGCAACCACACAGCAGATGCTTACACACTAAGTAATATCTCCATTTTTAAGATGAACCCACAAAGATGCTTCCACAGATCCTATCCATTTATTGAGTTGCATATGTACAGAGTTTTTTGTTTTTTTTAATCTAGCAAATTAACAGAAGAAAAATATTGTTTGTGTGGGTTCATCATCATCTGTATCTTCTGGAGGAAAAATCTACACCCAGTCTCCACAGTCATTGACTAATTATATTGTAAGTTCATATCAGCAATAATACCAAACACACGCACACACATCTCAGTTTACTGTTTCTTTTCTTCATCCACCTCCTTCTTTCAAGAATCTCAGGGATTTCTCATTTTATTTTCATAACAAGCCTGCGAGGTAGGAAAATGATGAAACTTTCTCCAGTGAACATTATGGCTGCACGGAGATTTGAGTCTAGTAGTCCAACTGTATGCAGAATTACTACAATCGAAACTTGTTGACTTCAGTGAGCTTAGACTGAAGTACTTCTCCAAAGGATTGCCCCACAATGGTACAGTCTATTTCCCACTGAAGCCAACAGGGACATTCTCATTTATTTGAAAGGGAATGGATTGCAGTCAATGGGTTGGATCCAAATTAAATTTTCTAATGGCAAAATGGAACTTTCCTGCCTCCCCGCTCCCACTGCAGCCCAGTGATCTCTGTGAAATGCTGCTCCTGTCGGACAGGAAACCCAAGGAATGCAGTGGAAAGGGAGAATTGGTAGAAAATGCAGATATAGTCTGGATCCCAGAGAGCCACTTCCAAGTCCACTCCAATGCCAACTGCTACACCATGCTGACTCTGTCATGACTCCTTTTTTATGGGCCTTTGATTCTAGGCACACAAGCAACATACACCAACCAGGTGTTCAGAATGTTCATTCATACTGCATTGTAGATATTCAAGGCTGGTCAGTCAAGAAAACCCACTTTTATTTGTCCTCCCAATAGTCCTCAAGAGAACATTTCAGTGCAAAAGAAAGGAAAATGCACGCCAGTTATTACAGAGCATCCAGAAGCCAAATCAGCACCCATCTTCATGATGCAGAACCCAGTTTCTTCAAGGCAACATTTTTGGTGCAGGAAAAGGCACTTTCCTAGCACACCAGATGTAGCATTTTACAGCTGGAAAAATATGATCTCTCTCTCTTCATTTAATACCATCAAAAGTTCTCTATGAACTTTGGCTGACGGATTCCATGACTACTTATTGGCTAATGACCAATAAAGCAACTCTTCTTTTCTTTGGTCATTAAGGAAAGAAGTTTAAAAAAAAGCAACATGCAGCAATAAGCTTCCTTTTTTTCCCCCATTCATCACCCTTCCACATATCTGTTCCTTTTAAAAAAGCACAAAGTTATGCCTTCTTCACGACTGTGGCACAGATCTTTCCATCATGTCACAAAAAATAGCCTTGACATTTTTATTTCCCTGACTTCTGAGAGGAGGTGAATTCAACAAAGTCCTGCAAATATGGAACACAACACACACCCTTTCTTGGAAATAACATGGGAAGACTATGCAACTGAAAGGATGCATCCCTTGCAGGGTTTTGCAGCTAGACAAGCCCAAAGAGCCCTGAAATTTCCACATCTCATGTCATTGATATTTGATAAACAATGACTATCCAATGGACAAGAAGGTGAAAGAGAGAAAAGCTCCCATTTCTGATTTTGTTACTAGCTCTGAACCCTAGCATCACCAAAAATTGTGGTCAAATCTCAAATTCTCCATCAGAATTAAAAATGTGTAGACTTCCTACATAGTCATCAGTGAGGTGCAAAGACACCATATCAATGCTTTGTTTCTGGAAATTTCAGTGGAGCCAAGCGATGAAGATTCCCTACAAATGGGATGACTGTGCCATGCAGAGAAGTCCCATTCCAGGAACTGAGTCCCTGAAGATGGTATACAGCCAATGTTATACGGAAGTCATCAATCACTCTGTCTCCCTTCAAGCAGAGCCTGAACCAACGACTACAGTTACATGTGTTTAATTCTGCAGATGGCTGGAGCCTCAGCATATTTGGAAGGAGATATCTCCTCTCACCACAACACCTGTGGCAGATGCTGGTGGTGAGTTTGCAGACTCAATGCACTTACAGGATAATTCCAAGTGGACGGAAAAGCCACATAGGCTGAATTAAAAACTTACAGTCTGTTGCCGTCTGAAACTGGAAGGCAAGTGTCCGAGTTATTGCTGTCCAAAATGCATACAAAATGTCTGACTGGCCATCCTGGGTGAGAAAAATGAAAATAAGCATTCTGTAGATTTCAAAATTATCTAAAAGAATGTGCTATAACGCTTATCTAAATCAATTATACTACTACTTACTAACCATGAGCAATTAATTCAACACAGGGAGCAGAGAATTCTGAGAAGAGAACAAATTCCTTTGATATAATTGTAGGCTTCACTTAAATACTTGGATCTGAGTTCTTGTATTGTTTTTGAATTTTAAATAGATACATTTACACAATTTATAAAAGGGTTAAATCACTAGTCTGTATTCTAAATCAGTATACATTGTGCACAAGCAAGAGGGTAAACACAGAGCAATCACTGGAAAACATTTATTCTTGGCTATAAATATAGTGTTGTTCTGTTCCACTGTAATTCTAAAACTGTTAGGCTGCAATCCAGTCCTCAGTTATAAATGCTTACACGATTTCCCAAAAGTTGGCTGTCTTGCCATCACCATTTAATCTTTTCCCCATAACTTTGACTATAACAGTAACTACATGGCCAGGTTTTGTTCAACAGCTCAACTCTGCCAACTGCTTCTGAATTATCCTTTATTCATTTAATAATTAGTTATATACCAATCATTTGGGCCTTGAACAAGTTGCAGATGGCCAGAGGCTAAAAGAATGGTCATAAAGGCTTAGAAAGCTCATGCACCTCCAAATTCTGAGAACTGGTTTGCAGATCTTCTAGATGGAGTATCTCAAACGAACAATGTGTTGGATAAATTTAATGCTGTATGGAAACCTTTCCATAATGTTTCATCCACAATACTGATTATCTTTAGTACAAAATAAGAGAGGATTTATCTGGCCCTTAGAAGCCCTACTTTGGGTGCCCCCACCTTCTGAGATTAGGCAGATGGCAATCTGGGAGAGGGCCTTCTCAGTCAGCATGCCAAAACTCTGGAACTATCTTACCAAGAAGATTTGTCTACCCTTTCCTTCTTCCACCAACGGGCAAAGACTTTTCGTTTGTTATCCCTCAGTAATATCTCCTTCCTATCTAATGTTTTAATTGTTCTTTTTATGTCTTTGTATTTCAGCTCTGTTTTTAGTTGTTTTGATGATCTGTGTTTTAGGGGGAGGAGTTGGCTTTAATAGTTTTTAAATGTTATTTTATTATGTATCTTTTGATTTGCTAGCCACCATGGTGGCCCTTGTGAGATCAGAAAGGCAAATAAACAAACAAATTATATACACAGTAAGTGTTCATATCTATGCAGTCCAATGCAGAGGTACTCCAGTATAAACCCACTGAAATCAACGGGCTAGGGTAACTCTATATAGGATTGCACTGTTCATTCACTATATTGATAATCAAATCAGTCTCCCTCACTTTTGTTCTTCCTTCTCCCCACTTTCACATTTATCCTGTGAAACTCTGTTTTCTTTACTTTCTTTTTGATTGTATATTTGTCATACATTAAAATCAACTAAAATCTTGGCACTAATTTAAAAAACAGAAAAAGTTCATGTCCAGTGTTAACAGAAGAGCTGAAGAAGAAGCAACCACAAGTCAGATGGGAAGGTCAAAGTCTTAAAGCAACATGCAGTACATAGAACCACATTATTCTATATGTCATCTGCATAATCTAGAGTACAGCTGTTCTGGTATTGATTCATTATTGAAAACTAGATTCAATACATTTGTAATGAATTATTTCACTGAGTTTAAAAACCAAATGAGAACTGTACAAAAACAAAAGTTTAAATAAACAGCGGGAGGAGAAAAGAAACCTCACTACTACTACTACTACTACTACTGCTACTACTACTACTCACCATCATAATTCAATTTATACCCCACCCTATCCCACAAGTGGGCTCAGGGTGGCTTACAATATAAAATCCATAAACCGCCCGACCCGGGAGGTGTGTTGTAAGTGTATTTTAAGGGGGGCAGTATGTCAGCAAGCTGCCATTCTGTTTTCTGTGACCTCTGTGTACATATCCTTTCCCTGTTGCACCCGGCTTGTTTTCTATCATCCTGCTCCTGCGTTGGAATGCACAAGATAACTGCTGGAGGTTGTGTGGGGGAGAAGATGCTGTAATGCTTGCCTATTGCTTTTCTCATGAGTCCTGCACCTGTGTTTTGTCTGATGTTCTGCCTGGTTCCCATGGACTGGGCGCGCAACCGTTTCATTAGCCCGCCAGCGGGAATGCTATTCATTGGATCTGTATCTGTTTGAATTTCCTTTATTATGCTTGACCTAACTGTGTATCCCCAGTTCTAACAAAGAACGTGTTTGAGTATGTCTTCAACGCTTTGAAATAAATTTTGCTTTTCTTGAAAACGTGGATTTATTCTCGATGCTTGGGGATCCAACAATTATCAACAAACCCTGTGCCTTGTATCAGGTGAATATAGATACTCCAGAAAACTCCAGTGCCCAATATTATTATTTAAAATAACAAGGTAGTGGGGAGGAGGCCATAAACAGGGGAGGCCAGAATGGTTGAACATCCACCGCCTCAACCAAAAGCCTGGCAGAACAGCTCCATTTTACAGGCCCTGCAGGGCCCTGATCTCAGGTGGGAGCATGTTCCACCAGGTTAGGGGAAGGGCCAAAAAAGCCCTTGCCGTGGTTGAGGCTAAGCGGATGTCCTTCGGGCCAGGGATCACCAGGAGGTGTTAATCAGAAGAGCGTAAAGCTCTCTGGGGCTCATATGGGGAGAGGCAGTTCCGTAGGTATGATGGTCCCAGGCCACATAGGGCTTTAAAGGTCAAGACCATAACTTTGAACTGGATCCAGTATTCAATCAGCAGCCAGTGCACTTGGCGCAACACTGGCTGAATAAACGCCTGTGAAGGTGGTGGCGTCAGCAAGCGTGCTGCCGCATTCTGCACTAGCTGCAATTTCCAGATCTGGCCCAAGGGTAGCCCTGCATAGAGCAAGTTACGATAATCCAACCTGGAAGTGACCATTGTATGGATCACTGTAGCTAAATTCTTTTCTTTTTTTAAATATAAACTCTCCTAAAAAGGAGATAATTTTATTGCTTTTCATATTAGAAATGGGGGAGGGTATATAGATGGGTAAAGAAAAGGTCGAGTGATGCTTTCATTAGTATGTTAATCTGTTAGTAATAATAAAAGAAGATTCTTCTTTGGCTTCATTGTGTTGTCAATCGTCTTTCATCTTCTCAGTTATAAACAATTGTTAAAAAATTAGTAGTGTCCCACTTTTTTGCTGTTAGTAAAAACTTTTCAAACGCCTTGCGAGCTGGTTCTTCTCTCCTCGGGCTGGTTTCTCCTCCGAAAAGACAGGAAGGGTCCTCCTCCTCATTCTCTTCTCCAGCTTTTTAGCTTCTCTTCCGGGTCCCTCCGCTTTAAAGGCATTTTCCTCGTTACTCGCAGCTCAAAGCTTATAACAGATTTCCCAGAGGAAGCTATCGTTCAGACCGGATGCTCCTCCCTTCTTGTTGCGCAGTTCTTTTTCCAGCACCGACATCTTATTTATTTTGTTTACATTAAGCAAAGTTCGCAAAGCACAATTAAAAGATAAATCTTCATGACCTTTTCAAACATTCCATCTCCGAATGACACCACCCTTTTCAGCTTTCGTTCTCCCCCCCTTCTTCTTTAAAGTCTCTTTTTAAATGGGAGTACAGGAATCCCTCCTCCTCTTTCGCTGGGGGGGGGGAAGAAACACGCTTAACTTCTTTTCATCGTAAGGATTGACAACTCACAATTTCAGCCGCTCCTTTTCTTTTCATTTGCATTTTCGCTTCATCACTCAGGTGGCGTCTGGCGGCTCCGCTAAGCCCCGTGCGGGGCCGCGAACGCGGCGAGGTTCATTGGGGCATGAGTGGAGCCTCAATTTCCGACCTTCCGGTCGAGAAAGAGGCTTTTCCACTCGCGCGCCCCGAGTCGGAGCCCCCCTGGGGCTTGTCCGGGTCTCTGCTTGTGTGGATCCCCCCCCTCGACAGCGGGCGGGCGAAAATGCCCTCGGGAGCATCCCGAGGTTGCGTCCGCCATTCGCGGAGACCAAACCGGAAGCCGCTGTAGCTAAATTCTGAGTAGTGAGATAGGGAACCAACTGCCTGCTAGCCGGAGATGATAAAAGGCCGATCTGGCAGCCGAAGTGACCGGGACCTCCATGGTAAGCAAGGGCCGCATAAAAAGTCCTTTTAGCAGCCTTTACTGCCATCTCATAGGATGTTCTCAAAGCTTCGTCACAAGTGCACCATCACCCTCGCTCTACCTGTCTCAGTTCTTGCTTCATCCTCTGTAGCTCTGGGGTATACCACAGGGTTAACTTGGTATGAGGATGGAGAGGGTGCTGGGGGGGCATTTGGTTGATGGCCTTGGAGAACCTGCTATGCCAGTTCACCAGCTCATCGAAAGAATCGCCAGGGGGCATCAGATCCCACAGAGAATTCTGTAACCAAATCAGGTCTGTCTGGCTCTGTTGGTGAGCATAATCCACTTGCCGCCTAAACACAGAGGGTTAGGAATGCCTAGCCGGGCTTTCGGGGCGAAGTGGTCTGACCGTAAGACCATATCTATGGGCATCAGATCCACATTTTGTAATACTTCCTAGTCACAGACAGCTTATCACCTTGTAATACAACAATTCCCGGTAGTAGAAGCTGCTGGCAAGTTGACCAGTGGCTTGCATTCGATTATTTTTTCAGCTCTGTGGGAACAGTTTCAATAAAATTCCTACCTCTTAAAAATGCAATCCAGAAATAAGGACAACACTCTCTCACAATTTTTATGCCAAGTGTATTTAAAATATGTATTGAGAGAACAGTGGCTTTATGGTGCTTGGATACCATTACAAGCCATAAGGAACATGATTTCTGACAACACCACAGCTGACCTTGCCACCAAACTCTGCCATTGTGTTGTCACCCATAACCACTTCACATTTGGTGACAACTTGTTCCTTCGGATCAATGGTAAAGCCACAGGCACCCACATAGCCCCACAGTATGCTAATATATTCATGGCCGAATTGGAGCAAGGCTTCCTAAACTCCTACCC